AAAAAAAAAAAAAAAAGGCACCTGCCCCAGAACCGCCTCCAGGGCGCAGAAGGCGCTCCAGCACGCCGAGCACCACACATGCATTCCTCTGTTTGCAGTTTTAGCTTCTGAGCCAGGGTCTAGCACTGGGTAGTGCAGAGTGGCCTTGAGCTTCCTATGTAGTCCAGGCCGGCCTCCAACTCCTGGTGAGCCTCCTGCCTCAGGCTCATACACTCATTACTCTTTTTTTAAAAAAATGTATTTGGTACAGGGTCTCACCACGCAGCAGCTCGGACTCCTAGTGATCCTCCCGTTGTCAGCCTTCTCAGTGCAGGATACCACCACGCCTGGTATCCACTCATTATTCTGACCAGACTAACTTTTAAATATTCAAAGCAGGATGAGTGTGGTGGTGCACTCCACAGGCTGAGGCAGGAGGACTGCCTAGAGTTCAAGGCCAACCCAGGCTGAGTAGTAAGCTCAGGACCAACCTGGCCTACATATTGATACCTTCTTGTTAAAGTGTTAATAAAATATAAATATTTATACACAAAATATATACATATTAAAAGCCGCAGGCGTAGAACTGGCTCGGGTCCATTCCCAGGCACTGACCTACAGCAGCAGCCTCAGCTCGGTCCAGGTGCCTCTGTCTCACGGCCCTCAGCCGGGCATAAAGCTTCTGAAAGAGCACATAGAGAAGGACGCAGCTGAAGAGGATGTACCAGCCATAGGCGGCCAGCAGCGAGCCCACTGCAAAGAAGAAAACAATGTCAAGACTCTAAAGGCGTCACTTTTCCACAGAGCTCCACACGGACAAAGTGTTGCTCCTGCCGCACATCTATCACAGTCTAGCTGAATGAATGGTTTTCTATGCAGGTAAGCCGGGAGCGCGAACCTGGCCCCCGACAGCTCGGGAATCCCCGGGCAGGGAGACCCGTGAGCACCAGGGCAGTCGGGCGGGGGCGGGCGGAGGGCTGAGGACCTCACCCAACTCACAAAGGCCAAGGCCCTCGCTCACACAAAGGATGGAGTCGAGGCTTAGCAGTGATGGGGAGGGGACGAGGCGCCACTAGGGACCCAGCTACGGCCAGGGCCCAGTGACTCCGGCATCTGCAACCGGATGGGCTCGCTGCGCGCACAGTAAAGGACTCCTGCAAACGAGTTCGGCTGCCCACAGCGCCCCGAGGTTTGGCCCGCAGCCCCAGCCGAGCGCGGCGCCAACGCCCGGCTGCCGTCCAGAGCTCCCCGGCCCTCTCAGGGCGCACGATCAGGACCCACCCAACATGGCGGCGCCCCGGGGAGCTGGCCGCGCGCAACTCACTGCCCCGCGGCGACTCACCGGTAACGTGCAAGAAGCGCAGTCCCTCGGTCTCCAGGGCGGGCCTCGCGGACAGCAGCTCCCCTTCGCGATCCATGGCTACGGTGGCCAAAAGCCCTGCAGCGCCGCCCTCCGTGGTGCGCTTCCGGCTCTTCTCTACGTACACGTGGCGCTGCCGGACGTGGCCATAGTTTTAACCAATCGCGACTCGACCCCGCCGAAAGATCGGCCAACCACAGAAGAGGTGCGACTAAAGGGCGGGGCGGGACATCCGACAGATGCTCGCGGGATTTGCAGTCCAGCCTGGTTTAGGTGCTGGCCTCGGTGAGGGTGAATGACGAGCCTCTTTCACCAAGAGATTACCAAATTTTTGCGGTGTTAGGACATTGAGGTTAAGGAGGCTAAATTCTGGGTCGGAATCTGCATCCACACTCTTGCGCTAAGCCCACACTGGGCTATGGAGCTCAACTGATTGGTAACAGCTGGCCAGCGAAGGCGGCAGCTCAACTCTGGCCCACAAAGGTGTGAACACGAAATACTAGCAACTTTCTACTTTACTTTTCAGCCAAGAAAGTCTCCACCCATCCTCCAGGTCTGTACACGGGTTTCAGCAACTGCCCACAAATACTGTTTTCAGAAAACAATGAAAGTAGAGATTGGTATGCTGTGTTATCTTCAACTAAGGCAGTCTAATCCCATTTTAGGTTGATTGTATTAGGTAATTGAAACTACGGTGCTTAGAGGTAGTGCTTAGAGGTAGTCGTGACTTTGGAAAATAATTAGGGTGGATTCCTCTGGAGATACCACGCACAGAACTAAAATCCTGCTATGGCATGTTATGGCCAAGACAGGCTCATGCTATTTGGCCTCTCAGTCTCCAATATGGGGCTTAATAGCCTTTTTTGTTCATAAAGTTAGCCTGATTTGGGTATTCTGTTATAGTAATACCTAATAGATTCCTATTGAATGACTGGAGATTTGCAGAGAAAAGCTTGAAACCTTTCCTTCACCTTAACAACCATCTTGAAAAATGGATCAAGTCAAATTAGGAAATGGAGACTTGTCAAATGATGCTGTGATGATAGCCATCAATTGTTGACAACTGACAAAGTGAACTGTGCCATTTTCTCATTTATTTTATTTATTTTTTTAAATTTTATTTATTTATTTATTTATTTATTTATTTGTGTGTGTGTGGTCAGCTCAGCCCACCAGGGGGCGGGGCTGGCTGGCATGTGGTGCTGGGGGATTGAAGTCCCTGTGCTTTGCTGAGCTTGTTCTAAGTAGGTGCTTTAGACCACTGAGCCATCTCACCAGCCCTCATTTTTTTAAAAAGGGCTTTGGATACAGGAAGTAAAGAGCTCACTTTCCATCTATCACTAAGTGACTGCGTGCGTACACACACTCCATTCCACTCAGGACTCTGCCATAAGCTAGCATCAATTAATGAAAATAAAAATAATTTTAAAAAAATAGACAGCATCTTCGTTTTCCGTTGGGAACCAGAATGTGTGTGCCTGTGGGTCATGACAGTCGGTACAGTGATCTGGGTGATGCATTTTCACTTCCTGCGCTCTGCTCTTACGGTTCCACTGGTAGAGGTTTTCATTCTTCACTGGGCTTCTGTTACCTTCGTCCTAGAGGATACTTAGCTTATCTAGAACTGTCAGGTTATTTTAGCAATGTGCTCAATACCACTGTTCAGGTGTTACTTGCAAAATTAAGATAAAAGGTGGACAGTGACCTGAAGTTCCACCTGTCACTGACTACACAGCTAAAAGGACTGGCCCAACGAGTCATATGCTTTGGCATTGTACTTGGCCAAGTGGCTTGCTTCACTTAATGGTCAATGGGTAGAATAAACTGCGGCTGTCAGGCTGAGGTGGTAGCTCACTAGAGCGCACAAGGCCCTGAGTTTAACCCCCAGAGTGGCAAAAGAAAAGGATATTACAGCAGCTACTGGGAGACTGTCACCCTCACATTCGCACAGAAACATATGCAACAAGATGGGATACAGGGTATGAGTACCTATTAGTGACAGCTACAATAGTTGCCTAACATGAATAATGTAAGCGCCCACCTCTTCCACTGACATTCTGCTAATTCCTACAGCAACCTTTACATAATATTAATCATGTGTGTACATCAGATAGTATCATTCCTAAATTTGTATTTCTTAGAACCTAAATTTATAGTTTTTAGAAACTCTAAACCAGGGCATTTATTAATTACGCATGAAGACAAGTCATATTGAAATCACCATCTTTATATAGTTTCATAGAAACCAGATTCTTAAGGGTGTTACTCTGTCCACTGGTACATAACTTCTTCCATAACATGACAGAAGCTGGCCTGAATGAAACACATGTTCTGCAAGGCTGTAAGTGAGGGGCTTCTGGAAAATACCAGATTAGGGTAATCCCAACTATTCTGGTCCAGGGCTATCAGCTCTGAGAACTGCAGGTCTCTTTCCTCTAGTCAATTTTGTCAAAATCCTTGTAATAATACTGTACATAATACAAGTAAAATCCCACTTGGCTTTTCCTCACCTATTTTTTTAATAGTGGTACTAAGGATTGAATCCAGGCCTTTCACACTTATTTACAGCCTTAACACCCATTTTTATTTTTTGAGAAAGACTTGCCTGCCACAGAACTGGGGTTACAGGTATGCAGCACACCTGGCTTCACCAAGTCTTAGATAGTAAACTCGTGCTCAAGTAGTCTTCCCAGTTCAGACTGATTCAGGGAAATGCTCAGAAGTCTCATTCCTTGCTAGATACTACAGTGCAGTTCAGGCCACGGACCCCACAGTAAGCTACTCCTAGGTAAGGAGCATAATCAGGGAAATTACTTTAGGACATTAATACTTACTGCCACTTGTCATCACTGAGACTTTGGACCAACTAGTCTTACCTAGTAGGGTGGTTAACAATGAAAATAGTCTTTCTGGATTTTAAAGGAAAAGAACCCCCCCTTACCCCCACCGTAGTACTATGGATTGAACCTAGGGCTTATTACTGAGCTACTGCCCCAACAAAATATAGAACCACTTTAGTTATCTCATCCTCAGAAACAGAAGCAACAGGTAATCCTGCATTACCAGGAAGACAGTCTCACTGTCTTCTCAGTGCAGATGCTGTTGAGAACCAGACTCTAAACCACGCCAGAATAAAAACCTTAGGACTAAGACTTAGAAACCACTGCTCCATGGCTGGCAAGATAGCTCAGTGGATTAAAGCACCTGGTTAGGCAGACGCAGGGACCAGGGTCCCATCCCCGCATGCTGTGCCTGCCGTCCCTGGAACACACTAAGACAGTGACTGAGACTGGGCATGGTGTGCACCTGTAATCCCAGCTCTTGGGAGGCTGAAAACAGGAGAATCACTACAAGTCCGACCTGTGGAGACCCTGTACTAAAAAAAAAAAAGAAACCACAGCTCCTTGTACATTCGTCTTCCCAGTCAGACTGTCAGGAGGTGGAGGCACAGTTCCTTTATGTCATAGCCATCAGTTGATCTATAATCGCCAAGTACCATTCCAGGATTATTTTGAAATGTTTCTCACAATTGAGAATCATGTAACACCTAGCCGGGAACCCCAAACACTGGCTTTGTAAAAATCTCTAGTGAATGTCAGCAAACGAAGCACGCAGTGATCTTGAAGGAGCTGAGCCCCTGCAGGGAAGCTGTGCACTCCCCCACCTGCAGTGTTCTATGGAATGGGGATGCTGCTCCTCTGCTCCTATTCCACCTCCTGATGAGAAGCCACACAGCCCTAATTGTTAAATAGGTAATTAATTTGAATGATTGTGTGCAGGCTTAAATAGGTCAAAGGATGCTGGCTCATGTTAAAGCCTGGCTGCCTTCATGAAGAATGCGAAACATAAACGCTTCCTAGATGGTGGGAAAGCCTACCTAGAAAAGGTCCTCCTGAACTTCCTACATAAACATGTCCTTATAAACCTTACTCCAAAAGCACATGATGACATGCAACTTGGCAGCACAGTGAGTGGCCTTTATTTTTAATATTTCTAGAAAACTGACATTTAGATTCCAAAATTCATTACAAAATTATCAGCAGCTGCTTTAAGCATTTCAACAATTCTGACAGATCCCTCTTTGCTGCAACAAACAAGGCCATTATTCTGTGTTCAAAACCCAAGACTTATCCCAAGAGTCTATTACGTCTGCCACACTGCTCAGGACCCATTTGTGACTGTGTCTTCTTCCATCTCCTCTTCACCATCATCAGTGGGACCTAAAGAAAACCAAAAACCAGAAATCACATCACTTTTAGAGAACCTGTGTAGTAGGCAAGTGTGCATTCTGTGGGTACTATGTGCCATATACTGGAAAAGGTAGAAAAAATCCAAAGCAGCCTCTGCCCTAAAGGAACTTATAATCCAGGGATAGCTGGTCTTTGGCAGGTAATAGAAAGGATGGTCACTTTCCAAGGAGGAGGTCAGAAGGTATTTTTAATAAAATGAAAGTGACTGCCTCTCACAGTTATGTCTATTTATAGTCTGTGAAGACAAAAATTGGAAATACTAAAAACAAACAAAAAAACCAGTCACACACCTAATATGTGCTTGATACTGGTAACAGTGAGTTTACCATCTCTAAATTAGGTTACCATAACAACAACCCAAAAAGTTCTTGTATATATTCAACAAGTTAAGGCAGGTTCTTTGGTCAATGTCTTTTGAAAAATGACATGTTTTTGCCCATCAATTGTTTGGGAAGATTATTCATAAAGTGTTTTGATTCTAGTTAGATCCAAACTTTGGATTTCTAGATACAAAGCTACCAAGAAAGAATCTTAAGTGTTATTCGCAAGTGTAGGGCCAATGAGGTCTAACAAAACAACACAATTATCCAGGTCCTAATTTCTTATTCCCAAATCCAAAGATACCCTAAAAGTCCAAATAAAACATCTTGAGGGCTAGCCAGATGGCTCAGTGGATTGAAGTGCTTGCTTAGGCAAATGCAGGGACAGGGGTTTGATCCCCACATGCTGAGCCAGCCCTGGCCCCGGAACGTGCTAAGATAGTACTTGGGAGGCTGAAAACAGGAGGATCACTGTAAGTCTGATCTGTGTAGTGAGACCCTGTAGATGCTGTACTAAATACACTAAAAAAAAAAAAATCCTGAAGGAACGATGGTAATCTAGGATAATAAGTCTCTAACTTATGGACAAAGTCTGTCCAGGAAAATTTTAGCAAGTTGAATTCATCCATATCTAGCAAAGGTGAGTCTTCCATGGTGTACTGTAAAAATTTACAACTCGAATGTTCATCAGTTGGGACTCAGTGTAATCCTATCTTACTGCAGTCACAATAAGTAGTTTGGACACTGTGCACTTTGCACCATCTGTCACCACAGACCCCTGAATGCTTGGGCTGATTTCTATTGTTGCTTACTCTTATCACAAAGCCACAGTGCCCCATGTAGCCTCCTCCCTAACCACACTCTCCCCATGTGGGCTTCATATTCTGGCCCTCTTTCAGTTCCTGGGTGCCTTCCTATGCAGGTGTTTTGGGGTGCTCTCTCCTCTGCCTAAAACATCCTGCTAGCTGCATCTACTTTAGCAGCTCTGAAACTATTAGGCCTTCAGGCTTACACAGTCTTTATGTTAATTATATTTACTAATCTTGCATTAGAAACTAAAAGTGGAAATTTTGAAAGACAGTAACTCTGGAAAACAAATCTGTTACACATTAAGATTCATATTAATATTTTGAGAATTCCTGAAAGAAAGCACTGACTGCAAAGATTGACATCACAATCTACTTTTAGTAGATTAAACCTGTGGATTAAACCTGGGGAAATCTGCATTACACCAGACTCTTTCTCCTACTTTTTGAGGCAGGGCTTCGCTAGGTTGCCCAGCCTAGCCTTGACCTTTCCTGCCTTCTTCAGTAGCTGGGGTTTAAGCATGCTCCACTATACCCATCTGAAAGCCTCAAATAATTTTTCATACTCTCTTATTTGAAAGTTCAGTGATCTATCCTGTCCTTGGAACAGATCTTTTACCCATGCACCATCTTCTAACATCATCTGGAAAACAGTGGTTCACTGAGTTTTACAAATCTTCTGAAGTTGAGCAATTTCATGACAAAAAGCCAAAAAGAATGCCTGTTCATTAATGTCCCTACTTTCTCACAGAAGTTTTTTAAGTACGAAGAAGTAGCTGACATATGTTTTCTGAGTTTTAATCTTTTTGTGTGTGTTTGAATTTTATTATTTTTTTTCCATAATTTTATTGAGAAACAAATAACAATGAGACAGTTTCAAACCAAATTGGTAGGATTGTTTCAATAATTAACACATTGCATACATTCTTCCTAGTGGTTAATTGCTGTACAAGATGCGGACTTGATATCCTATTTACAAACACCATTAGAACAAATCCCTCTATTCATTGAGAGAATGTAACTATATATCTATCCTAACCACTATGAATACACAGATACAAAATGGAGTTATTTGTTAAGTTCCATTATTTGAATATTATGGGTGTGTAAACTCAGCAAAATATTCTAAGAGAGTCCAGTAGTCCATAATAGTATTGGGTCTTCCGCTTCACTGGCAATGTCAGAAATTGAAAGCTTGCACTTTACCATTGATAACAAGTTTTCCTTGAGGCAACCACTCCATGTTTCAGAGTATATTCGCCTCTTACCTCAGGTCAACTATAGCAGTGCGTGCACATGACCAAACAACTCAGACCTGCAGAAGTTTCATGTGTACCCATTTGCCACACAGAATAACAAACAGACGTGTACTGAAGCAGTGTTATTTAGTAATTGTTTTGCTGTGCTGAGGCTTGATCCCAAACAACATACATGCTAGGCAAGGGCTTCACCACCAAGCTGGGTCATCAGCCCCTAATAATCCTCTAGGACACTCATGCAGGACATTCTTAACTGCAATCAGGAGTGGGCAGCAAGGAAGACTATATGAACTGCAGTCATTTGTACTACTGCCATGCTGAGGCAATCAGCAGTTTTAACTCCCATCGGGATTGTTCTTGCTCCATCAATGCAAATACTTCCATAATAAGAAAAATAGCATGTTGGGGTTAATAGTTTTGATCTCACAGACACCCAGGATCCAGGGACTACTGAGAACCACATCTTAAAAGCTGTCTTAATCATTCTTGCTTAAAGACCAACTATGTTAAAAGAACTACATCACTGGGTGATTTTGTCACTATGCAAACACAAATACCAGGGAGAGTCCTTAGGCAAATCTAGATCATGTACTACAGCCTATTGTTCCTAGGATACAAACCTATACAGTATGTTACTACAGTGGTCCCTTGCTATTTCATGGCTCAACTTTTACGGACTGTTTCGTGGATTTTCAAAAAATATTGTAAATTATTTATTGCAGATTTTTTGCTATATCATGGGATTTTGTAGTAGTGTGTAGTACTGTATACATATTTATATGTATAGTATTTATGGTTTTAATTATTTTTGCCTAAAAATTTAAAATATATAAAAAAATTATAAGTGTTAATTTTAACATATTAAAATAATAAATCAAAATAAAATACACTAGGGGCTGGGGAGATGGCTCAGTAGAATAAGTGCTTCCCTGGCAAGTGCAAGGGCCTGGGTTCAATCCTTGGTTCCACCAAAAAATCCAAAAAACCCCCACTGTTTACAGTATGCATTTTTTTTTTTTTTTTTCTCCGAATGCCTTCAGGGCAGGTTTGGCTGGTTTGAGTTGTAGGGATGGAACCACAGCAACCTGAGCCTGACTGCTTTGATGAAGCAGCCACTTAAAGAACTGAGCTAAGGGGCAGGCCCCCTACAGTCTGCATTTCTTTAGCAGATGAATACATATGGTGCCATATAGCATACATTTGCTAAAATTACATAGGTTTACAAGTTTAGAAAAATGGTTAAGAACATTAAAAGCATTTTTTTAAAGAACATTAAGTTTTTAAAGGTGTGGGAAAGGTTTTTTAAGTATGGAAAGGGCTTATAAAGCCTTAAATATATGGATGGTAATATAAATACAACATCACCACTTTGCTGATTTTCACTTATTGCGGGGGCACGGGTTCTGGAATGTAACCTGTGATAAGTGAGGAACCACTGTATACCAAATGTCACAGGCAACTATAATGCAAAGGTGCAGTAAAAAACTATACAATCTTACAGTACCACTGTTTTATTGTTGTTGTTTTTTTTTCTTTTTTCCCTGTTTTTTAGAGAAAGGTCTACAGGGTGTTCAGGGTCTCACTACTAGATCGGACTTATAGTGATTCTCCTGTTTACAGCCTCCAAAGTGCTGGGACTACAGGTGTGTGCCACCATGCCCAGTCTCAACTGCTGTCTTGGCATGCTCCAGGGGCAAGGCTGGCACCGCAAGCCGGGGATCAAACCCCTGGCCCCTAGGCGCTTTAATCCCTGAGCTATCTGGCCAGCCCACCACTGTGATGTATACACGACTATCATCAATGAAAATGTTGTCCTGAGGCGCATGCTGTACACAAAAATCAATCACAGTTATCGCTACAGTGTGGCTCACTCAATGCTAGGAAGTAATGTTTCTTTTGGCTTTTACATACCTTCCCCACACTCTCAAAGCGCTATGATTTTACTTTAGCAAATTAACTTATCAAATACTTTCTTTTTTAAATTTATTTGCTACAGGGTCTCACTAAGCAGCTTGAACTCATGATCCTCGTTCTTGGGCACCACCACACCCAGACTCAGTGGCTAGCTCTGCACGCCTGAGGCAGGCTGGAGTGGGGGTGGGGGGATATCAAACAATCAAATTCTGTCTTTCGCACTTGGAGGGGGGTCAGTCCTAAGAACTAAACCCAGGATCTTTGCACTAACCTAGATCCCTAGTCTTTTATTGTTTTGTTTTGTTTTTATTTTTTATTTTGAGAGAGGCCCTGAGTTGCCTGGGCTGGACTCATACTTTTGACCCTCCTGCTTTAGCTTCGAGGTAGCTAGGATTACAGGCGTGCACCTGGCCTGTCTTGTAATTACTCTGACTGTGGCATTATTTTGGGAGCACAAAGCACACTTTCTGACCTGATCTGCGTTCTCTGCCAGGTATCTGACCGGACTGCAGCAAGCCCTTCAGCCTCTCCACTTCAGCCAAGGTGGATGCGTTAGCTATAGCATTCTGGAGGACAGAGCAGAATGAACACAGACAATTCCGATTCAGCATAAACTGTTCAGAAAATACAGAAACCTGTAACTTCTTCAGATAGAACATTATATAATTCTATGTCAGAGAAAGGATGTTATCGGTACACCAAGTCAACCTAAAAAAACAGATCATGCATTTTCAAAATTGTTGAAACACAGACCTTCTTATAAAACAAGAGAACAGGTAATCATTCTACTTGTCCTAAAATTTAAGCTTATTATCTACATGGTGTTATATTACTGGATACCTTAACAGGCAGTATTATAAAATTAGGATTTCCTACTATCATCCAAAAAGATTCATCAGATAGCAAATCTGTGAAATAAAAATTAAGGCAAACCCTGAGACAGCATACAATGGTAACTTAAGGTTGGAAGTAATGAATGCAGCACTCAAGAAAATGAAAGACAAAGAAGCCGCTTCAACTGGCACACACAACTGGATCAAGTCTAGTCAACTGACTTTGATCTACACTTTCCTTAACTTGGAAGAATTCTAACTGGGAAAATGCCATCTTCAATACTCAGACCTAGATTTGCTACACTCCTGTGCCCTACCCCATCTCACTTTAACCAGTCCAGAATTTTAACATGCTATTACCTTGATTGCTTCTACATCCCCTGGAGAGGGCCCACCTTTCTTTTTGTCAGTTGGCAAACCAGCACCTGGATTAAACCTTGGGAGGGAAAAGAATATGACTGTTAAATTCTCACCCATCGATGTTGCTTCTCTTTTACTTTCAAAAGGTTTTGAAAGTAATTAAACCAGTGTAGTATCTTATCTTTGTTAACAAACTGATACAAGAACTCTCTCCTTCAGAAACACCACCCACTTCATGTTCCTATACAGAACAGAACACATAAAACATCATTCTAAGATTAAGATATTTGTTCTGTGACCTTGGTAGAAATTTCTTGTGATATGGACCATGATGGCCACACATTATCAGCACTCAAATTCAATACCCTATTAATCACAGTTTTGGGTTTAATTTTGTAGGAGGCAAGCTGCCAGACAGTGTTTCTGAAGTGAAGGGAGTTAAGTTGGATATCTGTATCTTACGTTTTGCTTCTCCTGGCAATATCCTTTGCAAGCTGTGCACCCCGTTTGCCCTTGAACATTTTCTCTGCTTCCTGACGCTCCTACAGCAACACCACACACAGAGTTAATGGAAATAGGAATACCACATGCATTTAGATGCACTCCTCCGAACACATGGAAGAGAATGCTCCTGAAATACTCTGAGCTGATAAAAACATCAAAAAGCCAATTCAAAACGAAAAGGAATCACAGTAGCTTTGCCTTTGCTGGTGAAGCTTCCAGAGAGAACTCCTTGCCTAGTTTCAAAGAGGAGCTGCTAAGAAGCTGCCAAGGAACTAAGCTGGGGGAGAGGGAAAACCTCCTAATAATGGGGAGAGTCACAATTAACAGCCAGAGCTGCTCAGAAACATTGTATGAAGCTCCTCTCTGGGAAGCAATTTAAGCAGAAAATCCACTGTACGGCTCTCCAGCATTCTGCCAGCTCTGCACAACCAACATTACACAAAAGAATGTTAATTGAAAGCCCTACCATAAATTGCTATAAGGATAAAAAAACATTTTCCCCTGCATTTTAAATTACAAAGTAACGGTAAACTTTATTTTATTAGTAAATTTTTTTTAGAAAGTAACAAAGTGTAAAGAAAAGCATACAATTCTATAATGACATACAACAAAGAACACTTACTTTTAGTTTTACTTTCTGAAAATCCAATACTCTGACTTGTGGAACTTTATAAATCACATATAGTCTGTAATGCTTCTTATTTGTTACAGGATTTCTTAGAATGCTATAAGAAAAGGAACAACAATGCCACTCTTGTTCATAGCATAGCAGTAAATTCATTTGAATAGCATTAAGTCCATACATCAGTGGAAAGCGCACTATTATGCACATCACAATGTATCAACTAAGTAACATCAAGAAAAGTTTCAATTTTTAAATTTTTATTTAAATTTTTTTTGTTATACATCTCACTACAGAGCCCAGGCTGAGTTATAACTCATGGTGATTCTCCTGCTTCTGTATCCCCAGTAGTAGAGGCATGGACACGTACCACCAGAACTGGCTTCAACATTTGGTTTTAAAAGGTACTTCTCAGTAAATGAACAGGGCTGGTAGTGCTATTTTAAGTACTTCATTAATTCTGTCATCATAACAAAGACATCCATACCTTAGATACGTCAGTGATTTGAGAGATGCCAAAGGGTCCAAATCACCCTGTAAAATAATGGTTATAGGTAAGAATGCTGACACCACACATTATTTATTTTGTTATTTTGAAATACAGAGTGTCTTTGGAGCACTCTTGTTTTATTAACTTTGACAGAATAAACGGACAAACACATTTCATCTTAAAAATCTCTGTATTAACAACTTCCATCTCAATATCAAAAGATACAAGATACTGATTTCCAATGGCACTTTCAAAATGGGCTACTGCGTAATCATTCGGGAAAGAAAACAATGTCAGAGCTGATATGACTTTGGAGTAAGGTATCTATACAGGAAACATATAGAGCTAACATCTTGGGTGTAATGTAGACTTCTTGCTACATCCTCTCAAATGCGCTGGAACAAACTTTGAGACAGGGTACCTTTATTTTAGCCCCCACCAAATCTCTTCAAATAATTTTTGAAAGACAAGGTGAACAGTACAGTTAAACAAAAACTAAATTATAGAAGAGGCAAGACCAGGTTTTCAGTCTTCCCAAATTGTCCCATATTCCATACTGAAACAAGGATAACAAATAAAAAACCAGTAACTGTAATCAGTCAATAACTGTAATCAAACTAGATGACAAGGTATTTCCCAAGAATTCTGCAACAGGAGTAAGTGGGGACATCCCTGTAAGAACAAGAGTGTATGGTGATAATGTCTGTGTAGGAGAAATCAAGAGGAAAGGTAAGGAGGCATCTGATGAACTGGCAAGCTCCACACCAATGTACAGGCACTCCATGAGAACAGCCCTCGCACCTGCACATTTCAGTAAGGAGTAAGAGGAGTCTGTGAGAAGGCCTGATGCCATTTCAGCAATGCAGACCCTCATCCAACACTAACTAGAAATTGTCTCCTTTCCAGGACAAAATACTACACGGAGGACAAACTGCTAGGAGCACATCTCAGTAAAGCAGGGAAGTGGTTCACTTCCACAGCACACACACTAAAATGGGAAGGATTCAAAAGGAGTTTAGTATAGCCCTATGCAAGGATGATACAGTCTGTGAAGTCACTCAATTATCCACGCCAGTATGGAACTGGAAATCTTGCCTCAGGCTCCCACGGGGCTGGAATTAGGCACATGCACAACTGAGCCTGGTTAAGATGTGAGATAGTACTTGGAAACAACCCAAATGCCCACCAACTGAGGAATGGATGAAAAAGATGTTGCATTTTTATATGAGAGTATTATTGAGCTATAAAAAAGATAACTTTGAGGCTTTTGTAGATAAATGGATGCAGCTAGAGATTATATTGGCAAGTGAAATTAATCAGATCCACATATGCAAACATCCTATTATCTCACTAGTGTGAGAACTTGAAAGAGAAATTAAAATCTGAAAGGTACAACAGATACTGTGAAAGGGAAAGAAATTATTCAATGGGAAGGAAAAGCTGGGATGAAGAAAAGGACAAATGAAGGGAAAAATATATATTTAGGTGTACATGGAGAATAGTTTGAGTAATTGTACTGTTGATTTCTGCTGGTCTTTTGAAAGGAGCAGTTAATGTTTAAATTTTCTTTCTTTTTTTTTTGGTCTTCAATTTCTTACAACTTTTTGTTACCATTTTGTTTTTTTTTTTCTTAAACAAATCTTGCACAGTTATATCCGGTAGTCTGAGTAACTAATTTAAAGATGGCATAATGTAATAAAGCAATCACTATTCAATTCCTATTACTAAACATTGTATTGTATCATTTCTAATGCTGTTTTTTCTATAACTATTTTGTATTCTTTAAAAAAAAGATGAGATTTTAATATACTTATTTTATTAGCTGAATGGAAGAGCCTTGTGGACAGCTTTAAATACAAAGACAATTTCTCTAATAGAAGCCATCATGTTACACATTCCCTATTAGCATGTATTTTGGGTTAAAACTTCACACCCAAGGCATGACAGAGGATATGGCCTCAGACCAGTGCTTTCCTACTTCTGGACTCAAGCGCACTTTTGAGAATCTGAAAGATGCCATGAACTCTGTCCACCAAGGGAACATCCAGGTAGCTCAATCTAAACAATCAAAAAAATAGGAGAGGGAGGGAAATAACGTCTTTTTGTTTTGCAGAAGCAGGGACCAAACTCAGGCTGCAAGCGCTTCCTCCACTGGTGCTCTCCCAGCCCCAATACAGTCTTAACAATCTAAAAAATAGCACCAGGGCCGGGGAGATGGCGCAGCAGGATAAGTACTTCCCTGGCAAGCACAAGGGTCTGAGCTCAATCCCCAGTTCTGCTAAAAATAAATAAATAAAATAAAATTTAAAAATAGCATAATGTAAATTAATTAACTAATTTTATTTATTTATGGTGGAACTGGGGATTGAACTCAGTCCCTGACACTTGCCAGGGAAGCGCTTATTCTACTGAGCTATCTCCCCGGCCCCGGCATAATGTGAATTTAAACATCTAGCTTTTCAGTGAAAAGTTTTGGTTATAAAACAATATACAGTATAAACTCTATTTTGTTAAGCATACACAGCAGAAATTTTAAAGAGCATAAAACAGGTCAAAATAATCATTATCTATCTCTACAGTGAAACTGAAACTTGTCCCTTAGCTTACATAGAAATTAGTCCCAGTTGAACTGCTCATCTAATGTGAAAAGCAAAGTTTCTAGAATAGAAATAAAGTTTCTAGGATAGAAATTCCATGTGTGTAACTTAAAATATGCAATTTACAATTTTCTAGTAGCCACATTAAAAAAGTAAAAGTAATTTTAACATATTATTTAATCTAAAAAATATTATATAGCCCATTATCCAAATATTATCATTTCAACAACAGTACTAAACATTTACAGTATTTTTTTTAAATTCTATGTCAATCCACCATGCATTTTACAGTTCTGTACTTTTCAATTAAGAATAGCCTTGTGGGGCTGGGGACTTGGCTTAGCAGTACAATGCTTACCTAGCAAGTTGGAAGCCCTGGGTTCAATCTTCAGCACCAAAAACAAAAAAAGTCAAACCTCCCCTAAAAAACAATTCAACCAAAAAACTACAGTAAAATCAAGAATAGCCACTTCTGGCTAGTGGTACCATACTTAACACTGCAAATCTTGGAAAGCACCGTGAGTTGCTTTATAATCCATGGAGGGAATAGAAGTTTCAACAAAATACCAAAAACACTAACAGCCAGGCATGGCAGCACATGCTTGTAATCCCAGCACCTGGGAGGATTTCGAGGCTAGCCTGGACTACATAGAGAGACTCTGTCTCAAAATAAACATGAAAACACTAACAAAGACTGATGGCCAGGGAGATTGCTCAACAGCTTACGTGCCTCCCTTCCAAATACAAGATCCTGAGTTCGATGCCGGGTAACGAAAAGAAAAAAAAAAGACTGATAAATCAGAGACCACTTAAAGCTTGTGTAGCATGTAAACCCTGAGTTCAATCCCCAGTATAT